AAGTGTGGAAGTAGGGAGGAAAGCATCAAGCTTGGAGTGGAAGAAGTAAAATGGACAGAGAGCACCAGAAAGCCTGAAAGATGTGCTGGCACCCAGCATGCAAACAAGCAGACTAGATGGAGGAACGGAGAAACAACTGGAGAAAGTAAACCTAAGTTTCTGAAGGCAGTCTGATTTTGTTTCAGAGCTTGTCCACTACACTGCAGCAGCTGAAATGCGACTGAGAGGAGGTTTCGGATATGTAGGTTGTTCGAGCCTTTCTCTAAAAGCCAGGCATATTAGGGTAAAGTCTGAGGCGCTCTGCTGCCAAATATCGACCCTCAGGTGTCTGGGCCAGGCTTTCAAATATAGATATTGTTCAACTGCTACTGTTATCTAGCAGAAATTTGACCACCAATAAAAAATACGTTGCAAGTGCAGCTTATATCCTAGGAGAGCAGAGCACCAATCACAGACAACATTATTAAGTTGCTAATTGAAAGTGCTGTTAGTACTACGTGCACAAAGATCAAAGATTAGATAGGCATAGCAAATCTCATTCATAAGGAGTCACTTCTGGTTATAACTGGGACACTTGCCAGCCTTAGCTCCTCCATCTTTGACAAAGCCCCCCAAAAAGCCAATCATGAAACTATTTGCTTCCTCCCCCAAAGGTGGGACTGTCCTCCATAGCACGCTTGTCTGAAGCCCAGGGACAAATTTAAGGTCTTACCTCTTGACTCCTTTAGACTCTAAAAACATGCTTTATCGCCACTGAAAATGAAAGATTTCTTAGCTTTCTGATGGATACACACTGCATACCTCTAACCAGTGAGGTACTGAAATACTGTGTTTTCAAATAAATGTATGATTCCTGGCTTATCAAATACGTTACGTGTTTTTTCTCTTACCAAAGACTGTAAATGTGACATTTATGTTACTGAAGCAATTTGATCTCATAATTGGAGGAAAAGGAAATGCTGCGCCAATAATTTATTAAAAAAAATTCTGTAGAAAATCTCTTAAATAGATTTTCAGTAAAGTATGTGCAACAGGTTTTATTGGTACTTGTTAGCAATGACCTGCATATGTCATTTGTATGAACATGGCCCTATCAAACGCATGGTGATGAGACACATTTCACCACATTGCCCTTTATATAGACTCTATTTATACATGAGGATGAATGAATTGACAAGACAAGAGGTGCGGCATATAGATTTGATATACTGGCATAAATTTAGGATGATCTACATTATTCATAAGTACTGAAGCCACAAATGAGATATGTAACAACATCCAAAATGAGTGTCAATAGAATCTGTTCCCACAGTGCACCATCCTATATTCCTATCTGTCACATATTCTTTAGAATATTCTTCTTCTAAGAAATCTGGTGCACTCAGTCTGGAAAGCAATGTTGCCTTGGGATCTGCGATAAGGCCTGCCTCAGAGAACAAGCTTTCATAAGACGGTCTTAAAAGAAGTAGACAGAGAACAGGAAGAATTTCCTCCTACTGAATTATTACCTCTTTTTCCAATCCAACTGTGCCGCTGTTGTGGCCCCAAAAGTTATTTGGAACAGATCAATTTCTTGGTGTCTCAAAAACTGAAAGAGTCAAAACTAAAACAATTGACAACCAGTCCAGCAGGCAATAAGCACTACAAAATGGACAAATGAACTTACTTTGGAAAACATTTATGAGCGAAAATAGCAGGTATTTTGCAGTTCACCTGTCATTAATGCACTTTTTTAGAAGGTTTAATTTACTGCACTTACCCCCAGTATAGGATTTGATTATTCTGTTTATTACCGTAATATCTTAGACAAAAAGCTGTGTGTATATCAGGGAAAGCTCTAATTCTGTTTTCAAATGGATGACGCTGTGTACAGAATAGCAATTATCAGAAAGCAAGGAAGGGGAGGAGGATTGTGCAAAAGAGTGGCATAAAAATACTAACGATTAATGACCACTTTTATGCCAGACACAACTAGAAGCTCTCCAGAGAAGTTCTTAACCTTAGGTTGGAAGGGAAGTAGGTATTTTCACCTTCTAACATCTTAGTCTGGATTTCCGGTGAGTGACCTAGACTTGAAAGATTTTATTTCCCATTTGAACCATCTAATCACTTTCACCCGTCTCTATATTTAGATAAATACAGACGTGTTGCTGAAACACAGGTCATAAATAAAGTGTTCCATTGCCAAGTAAAATAAAGAATGTTTACTATCCTTAATAATTTTAATTTTACAACATGCCAATATTATTTAGCTTTGCAGCAGAATTTATGAAGATTTTCATATATTCATTTCATTAACCTAAGAAAACATATAATACATGAAAATTCCTTTTGGAAATATCTATTTTATGATAACTTTACCACGAAAGGGAAAAAATAAAAAGAGGTACCTGGAACTTCGCTGAAAGACTCTCCCAGCACAGAGACATGAAAAGGCAGTTCTTTCTCTTTAAGTTGCAGCAGTACTTTAAAGAAAGTTTCAGGATCTTTATCGTGTTCCCTTGAAATAAACAGAACTTATCTCAACATCAGTTGTTTACTTGTGGAATCGTTTTTTGCTCGTCAGAACAGTATTTTTCTTAAATTTTCCTTTTGGGGAGCAAAAGCTCCTCAGCATAAATTCCCGCTTCACTTATGGCTGCATATTTAACTCGATGCAGCGCCCAAGCTCAAAGCTCAGTTTCATCAGATTCTTGTATCTCTTACCTGTCTTGAAATGATGTCTTTACTCTTTAAATTACCAGCTTAGAAAGCCAGGACTGAATACCTCACCAAGCCTAAAGCAAAATCATGATAAAAATGCAGATGTAGGAAAAAAGCTCTGATTTTTATTCGTTCACTGAAACAAGATATGTAATCTCCAATATATTTTACCCCCTTTTTCAGGAGCAATATGTTAATTGAAAACTTTTGCTAAAAACACATGATTTTCCCAAATGGATTTTTATGAATACACGCTGCATTAACATGTACTCCTGATTCACTCAGTGCATTAGGTAAAGAAGAAAGAATAATCCTAATGTGAGGGCATTTTCCACCTTTAGACTTTTAAGGAGCTATCTGCAGATAAGAAAACTGCATATATTTATAATTTCAGCTGAAGATAATATTAAAGGTATTACAGTCAATGTCTTGAAACACAAGGCTGATGTCAAAAAGAAAAGAAAATCCTATTTGCTAGTCCATCTTCTTTACCAGGGTAGACTGAAAGGTTAAAAAGATACCATAGATGAACTAAATTTCCAGAATTTTGGAAATTATATTAATGAATTACTTCATGCAATGAGTTACTTCCCCTGCTCCAAGGTGAAATCTGTATTATTTCTTACATTTAATTACTCTGCTTTAAATTATCGCATTTCAGACAGATGTGCACCATACGTCTTTAAAAGATATTGTTTTTATTTATCATTTAGAAAATTCCCCTGTTTTCCTTCTTGTATTACGGCAAATCTATAGCCTGGTTGCTCTGGTGTCTTTCTTCACAGCCTAATTTTGTACAATGAATCTGTAGGTTTGTCACACCACTATATGAAAGATTAATAATTGTATCATTCAAGAAATCTGAAGCCAAATGATATCTGCAGCTCTACATGTGTTAATTTCTCATTCAGTCAATATTTTTCATTTAGGGAATTAAAACAAATTAATCTCATAATTAATGTGACTTTCGTAGGCTGAAAAATCTTCAGGAACTGTAGAGTTTTCAGAATTAGCTGCATTTTTAAAAATAAAAGACAGACAAAAATCACTTTAAGAAGGTCTGCATCTCCCAGATTTGTTTTGTTCCCAGCAATAAAGAGGAATGCAACAGCATAAGCTTCATAATTTGTTTCACATCTGTGAACCAGGAGTTTCCACGGTGGTTCCAATAACCAAAGTGGATAATATTGACTCTGCAAGCGAATTTCTCTCGGTTGCAAAGAACTGAGAACTATCTGCTACTTTGCTTGTAACCTTATGGTTAGAATATCCACTTGTTTCTGGTTGGTAAATTATAGGTATCAACATATTTCCAATATTCTAGTCCTCTCCAAACGTCCAGCTGAAAGAGCCGAGAACTGGACTCATAACAGATTTGGCTGGAATGGGATGTTTATCTCACAAATGAGGTCTGTAAAGAAAATAGCTTCATTGCTGAGAGTCAGGTAATTCATTGTAGTGTTTGCTGCTGGCCTCAGTTTCCTCTGCCGGTAGGTTTTTATGGGTGTTTTAGAAATGGTCCTTTGATGGACCTGAGGAGCGCAGCACGCAGGTGAAGCGTCACCGGTCTGAGACATCCACATACGCAGCAAGGGCAGCCTTGACAGCCACAGCCCGAAGCTTCCGATATGGATCCTTCCAAACCTTCGCAATCCGCAGCAGAGCCTACACAGTCACAAAACGTCCTTCCAGAAAACGATACGCTTTCCCTCCTGCTTTCCAGGAGGGACCAGGGGTCCCGGAGGCAGCCAAGAGTGGAGGTTGCTGTTGGAGCCACATTGTCAAGGAGCTGGCAGGGAAACGTGAAGCCTTGCAGCTCGCCCGAGCCACATACGCTGCACATATTTAGGAAAACTGATAGGAATTGGAAGTTGCAGCTTTGTTTAATAGGTGAGGAAGAACAGAAGGAAAATTTGGCACCCAGAAGGAATGCTGGAAGGGGAAACGTTTCCTTTGCGCTGGAGCCTGGCTGATGGGTTTTCTGATGTAGGTGATCCTCCTTCCACGTTGCCTTTTAAAACGTTTTGCTTTTATGTGATAGCAACGATGCCTACAGGTTTTAATGACCAACTTTGTGACTCTTGTAGCTTTTCTACTTGGGAGTTCATACGGTTCGTCAGCTCCTGAGACTTTTCCAGGCGCAACCATTTTATTTTTAGCCATTTTTTGTGAGGACTTACAGAAAGCTCCTGGCACGTGCACCTACAGATTGCAATGTATATTTGTAAGTTAATAATGATATAGCGCTTCCTGGTAGAGAGAATAATTAGCACCCGACGATCTCTTTAGTGCACCAGAAAGAAGAGTGCTGTGCTTCTCAGCTGACATGGAGAAAATCATATACAATCCAGTCTGCCTTACTCAGCAACAACTGCTAAACACACCAGATTGTCATAGCAGTGATCGTGGAAAAGGATGAACACAATATGGAATGTCTGTTCTGTAAAGATCTGCTCAAAATGACGTGCACTTTTGGCTGCATCTGTTGCATTTTTGAGCTTTATTAAACAGTATTAATTATATGTACTTCATTTCCTTGAGAAGAGCTGCAAAACTGTATAAAAGCCTGATATTAAAAGGCAAACTTTTCTTCAGAGATATTACGTGTTTGGGGAAAAATTAATCTAATGTGATTCTAGGGTCTGCTTCTGTTGTTTAGTTTAGGCTTTTGTATATTTATTTGATTTAATATTAATGTGGTAAAGGAAAAATAAAAACTGGGCATGGTTTGAATGTATTCTAAATTTCATCATAAGCATATGAAAACAGCAAAATGACCAAACTCCAGCTCCAAGCCGCCACAAAACGGACACGGGCAGCATATGCTTCTCACCCATACCTACATTTGGATCTGAGAGCACTGCCACTAGAGATATTTGCCCTCCGCGTCGAGCTCTCAATATCTCAGTATTACACACTAGAAATTTTTACCCAGGATTACTCAAGAGGGTTTTTTTTTTTTTTTTTGCTGTGCACTAACATTGCAAGCGCCTGGTCTGGCTGTGGCAACGTGGCTCAGGATCTCCTTGGTTTTCATCCTGGCTTACGGTGACTTCCCTTTGCAATCTCAGACCAGACTTTCCAGACTACCTTTTGGTTTCAGTAGGAATGGAATCAAACGGAGAACGGGTAAGTTGTAGTATTAGTAGCCTCAGTACTGAGCATCCAGCAGCTCTGCCTTAGCCTTTTTCTTTATAAAACGGGTGTGACTATTTGTTTTTCACCACAGAAGGATGCTGTCAGGACTAACTGATGTCTGATATCCCTCTTTTCAGCTTACAGTGATTAAAAGATTGATTAAAAAAGAACAGAAATAAGTCCCTGCTGGTGGTGGGGACCCACAGTCCTGACCAGTGATGGAAAAGAGGTAAATTCGGCCCTTTATAGTATTCGGTGCATATTCATCTCCTGAGAGAAATTCAGTAAGAGACCCACAGGGTCTTATGTGACTTAAGCCTAACTTTTTAGGTGTATATAAAACTGATCATTCTTGGTGACAGTCCTAGTTATTTGGACGAGAAAGCCACATACAGCTATGCAGCTAGGAAGGGTGAGAGTTAGGTAAAAGAGAGAGAACGTGCTCAAAGGGCCAAAATAAATGCAGTCTCTTTAAAAAAAAAAAAAAACAAGTAAGCTTAAAAACTATGGTTTATGCTAGTTAATCTATAACACAGAAGGGCTACGTCGGGGAACAAAGCCCTAATATTTCAGGAAAAAAAACGCACAAAGGGTGTGTAATGACTGTGATAACAACAGTCCTGCCATGCCATCTCTGAAGGTGCTACGTATTTTGAGAGGTTTACAAATAAATGCAGCTAAAAGTAAAATTAAAAGGGTTAATCTCAATCTTAAGACATTTAGCAAAGGAGATTTCTAATGTTCCAGTGGCAGAGAAGTCAAAATTGTGAGGGCGCATAGTAATATTTCACATTTCATAGTGCCTTAAATCCAAGCAATTCGGAACATTTTCTACACTGTAGTAAGTAAAAAATCCAAAGAGCCCACAGAGGGAGAAAAGTATTTCCAGATCACAGAGAACCAGTCTACAGCAAGCATCAGTTTGCAAAGGAGTGGGAAAAGAGGAGCCGAATCCAGACTTCCAGTTGTCCCGCAGTGCACGCGTTTCTCCTCCTGCCTCCCCGTTTAATAAAATCACTTGAATGTCAGCTGCACAAAGGTGAGAAACGGCAGCACCAAAGCACTCACGAAACCTTTAGAAGTTAAACTAACATTTTAAGATTTAGGATGTAAACCCAGAGCTACTGCACCGATTCCTGGCTGCCTTCAAGAGGATGGGTGTCACTCTGGGCTGCCAAAATATCGTTTGTTATTTAGAGCGCTGGGCACTGTGTTTGGAGACGGAGAACTGATGAGCCAAAGGAGACCTGGGACGAGAGGCATTAGCCGGGGGGAGGCCCAAGGGAGGCTGCGAGGGGCCGGGAAGGCCTTCGGGAAGTCCCTGAGCACAGAGCCAGTAACTACAAGTTAAGGAGAAGTAAGACACAAGCCTTGAAGGGTCCCTCTGAATAGAGGGAAGAAAGAGAAAAATCACTAAAGGAGACACCAGAGCAGCATTGGCAAATGAGAAAAAAAAAAAAAAAACAACAGTTGAAGAAAAAATCACTGAAGGCCCAGGGAGAAAAACCCCGATGGGGATGTCCTGGAGGCGGATCGTTAGTGGGAGCTGTCACAACGATCCGAGCGCGCGCAAGAGGCTTCCCCATTTAGTTTGGGGAAAGTCAAAGAGCGAGGACTGAGTTTGGCAGCAAACAGGGGGACAAGCTAGGCAAAACAGTA